TAGTACTTTTTTTTTACTTGTATTGATATGTATGAGGTGTCTTTTATTTTAGCTTATAAATATTTTAATTGGAATCAAAACGCGGAGCAGATCTTGCTGGGTAATTACAAGGTTTTCATTAATAATATTTTGCTTTGTGTAATCGTTAATAATATTAATATTACTATATAATTACAAGAAGATGTCAAGGCAATACACCATTGAATATGAAACATTTTGAATATGCAATGTTTGATTATCGGAAATTTTTAGAGATGTTGAAGCACGCACGCATGCTACCTTGAACACATTACAGTCATTCTCTCATCTTCCTCGTGTACACAAGGCTAATCTGACTTGATCCCCTGATGATACAATGATGCTATTTTGGCCAGTAAAATTACTAATTTTTTGTAAGTTTAATATCAAACATGACTGTAATTTTCATGTGTAACAAAGTTATTGATTTATTATTTATTGCAGTATTAAAACTTTTAAGAAGAATATTAATATCATAATGACTTCTGACAGAGAAAGGGATATGATTGTTAATGTTTTTGCTCCAATATTTAAAAAAATATTTGAAAGCTATGACCTTGGAAAATTTCGTTTGTTCTGGTATGTTGTTCTATTTATAATTCTGGACTATCTATATTCCAAGGAATTGAGAATTTACATTTTGAATTATTAGGCTTGAAAAAGGGTGCAAAGCAGTCACAGCAAGAAAAAGAAGATATATAAACCCAGAATATACTAAATTAACCAATGATGATAGAAAGCTTGATTTAATTATTGAAATAAGATGTTATGATATTGAAATTCTATTATTAGAAATTGGTATAGATAAAAATTTAACAGATACAAATAGTGACTATAATCAGCTAAAAATTGCTTTAAAGGATTGCATGGATACATTTGTTGAAAAAATGAACATTTCTAAAGAATCTCTTGCCAAATTAATGATATTAGGTATTCAAATATCAGGTAATAAAATGATTGTTAGGTAGCCATTGTTTGGCATTGAAAAAAAATTAATGTCTTTTCATTTCAATACTTTAATAGACTTTACGTGGGATATCTATTCAATGACTTATGATCATGAATTAAAATTCTATTTTTTTAATAAATTAAGATCATTCAAACTCCCAACATCATTAGCTGATTTAGATTCTTCTCTTCCCTATTTTATGGAAAATATACTGGCTCTTAGGGTTGGTTTTTATTAATGATGTAAATCTTGGCATTGCAATGAGTCTTTATTATTAATATTAATTGATTGATTGATTGTATATGCTAGCATACAATGCTTTATATTTCAGATATTTTAAAAAAAATAATGAAAGAAAAAGAATCAAGAACACCGTCACCACCCACTTCACCAATTTACACAACACCAGATACACCAATCATTAAAAAAGTCAAAGAAAATGTTTTTTTGAATCTTTTTCAAGATTTGTATTGAAAAGTTCTAGAATTTGACTATAGATTTATAAAAAATTTAATAAATGGATATAGCAACACTCCTGGGACTATAGTAAAATTTATTCTAATATGTTTATATCATAAAAGAACCAAAAAGATTTGTGTTATTATAAACAGCAATCATTACATCCAAAGTTACTTGTATTTTATAATTCAATAAAATATTATTGCTATTAGACTTAAAAAAACTGTTAGTATGTATATATGTGTTGAAGGTTTATAATCATTAATTTCCACAAAACCAGAATCATCAGAATATGTTTGAGATCATTAAAATATCTTACTTTGAAATTAAAATAAAAAATTACAAAGCAAACATAAAATTATATATAGGGTTATAGGTTAAGGTTTCTGGTCAAAAGTATTTCATAAAAGCCCAAATTAATTTCAGCCAAAACCAAAGTTCCCAAATTTGCATTTGCCAAATATTTGACATTTTGGCTTTTATATTAATTGACATCAGAATTTCAGCTATCGAGTTTAATATTAAAAAAATATTCAAATAATTTTGATCCCTGAAATCCTTGGTAATAACAATGTTCACTTTGTCTGGTTTTGTTGCAGTATGCCCCATATATGAGTGACACTTGACCCCCTGTAAATACGCAATGTCCTGCGACTGCTAAGCCGTGCCTGGTTATTTCGTTTTTAGCGCGATCAATGGTTTCACCATATTTAGCAAAAATTTGTCGTACGACAACTAATGTAAAAAAATTTTTTTTTGATATACCTTTTTTCTACGTGATAAACATTTTATCGTGCAAATAATTAATATCTTTTTTGGCAAGAATAAAAAATTTTGTTTATTTTACATTTAAGAAAAGCTATTTAATTTCAATAATTGGATTCATTATTGTTTTTTATTTATTTATTTTATCATATATGCTACTAAGAATAACTTTTTGGTGGTGGCGAAGCATCTTTCTTTTTTCAGTTATATATGTGTTTCATAAATAATATGACGAATTTTTGTTTCTTTGATGTGGCCTGAGACATGAATTTCAACACATTTATATGGACTAGAAGCAAAAATAATATACTTGTGGTGACCTAAATAGAATTTAAAAAATGTATAAACAACTGTTATTACCATCAAAAGAAGTCGTTTTTAGTTTATATAAACTAAAAACGACTAAAGATAAGATTTAAAAAAAATTCTTACCATCCAAAGTAAGTAGAAAACAAGGATAAGATATCTTTTCAGTATATTGTCCATTTACATTCCAATGAGTTTTCATAAACTTAGCATAATAAGCTGCATTTTACAAGTATGAACACTGCTGGGTTCCCTAATCTGTTTTCACTTCTAAATTGAGAATAACAAACTCAGTACCAGCAACTCTCTTGATAGCTGTTCCATCAGTATTATATGCACTACTATCCTTGTAATTTTCTATTATAAATGCTGCATTCAAATTTGTAAGATATAGTTCAAAAACTTCTTTTAAAGAGTTTTCCTCTGTAGTTTCAAGATATGACAGCTGAACTGAGAGCTCTAGGATGAGCTTTGCATATTCCCTCATTATCAGAAAGTGTGATGGTGTTGTCATAAAATAAATTTCTGAATGTCTCAAAGACTTCACAGTAGAACCTGATTGGAATATCTGATTGACTCATGGGTCTGTGGTGGCAAATTTTCACATGATTAACAACACCAACATGGCCTGAATTGGCATAGGTGCTAGGCGTTATTCCTTAAGAATATCGATATTGTCACTCCTTGACTTGAATACTAGAGAGAATATAGAGACTTGTTAAATAGACCAAATTTTTCAGTTTCTGCAAACTAATATCCAGTCCAGTTCAACTTACTCTTCAGATGCTTAACAGCATTAATCTAACTCAGAGGATGTTGAGCATGTATGTCGGATTCCTGGTAATTGAAGTGAAAAAATAAGATATAAATAAATAAACAAAATGAAATGAACAAAAAATAATTTTTTGTATATTTTTACAGACAAATAAATAAATAAATAAACAAAATGGAATGAGTGAAATGATTTATATATATATATTTTTTTTATGCAATTTGTTTCTTACCTAGATAAATATGAGCAGAAAAGCCAAAAAAATTAATTAATTCAGGGTAAAGGAATAAGATTGCATATTTAGTTAAAATAAATAACCAAAAAAAAAAAGCAAAAACTAGTTAAGGCTGCACCAATAAATAGATATTTGGACTTGTGCGTGAATATGAAATTTATGTGAATTTGCAATTCACATATCTGAGAAAATCGGTCATTTTTTTTTTGACATTTTGATGATATTTCAAAATTTTATTAAGTAAATATGGCTATATTTCTAAGCTGAAAAGATTCCTTGTCTCAAATTACATATAACTGCATTATTACAATATGTGAAATTCAAATTAGCCAATCAGAAATTTCATATCCAAACACACCACCCCAAAATTTTGATTATAAATTTCGATTTTACAAGTTTCAACTTCACATACAACAGACTCACCTGAAACACCTTCAGATTGTCTCAAAAGGAATAAAAGCAGACATATGTGTGAAAATGTGAAAGTAAAACACAAAATAGTCAATGTTGTGACAAATAAATGCAAGTATTCCAGCTATTTTTTAACTATATAATAAATTTGTAAAAGGTAATTCAAAAGTTAATTCAAGACAAAGTAAGCAAATAACCAATGATAAATATAAGTTAACCAATGTTATAAACAACATGCCAATAAATAAACAAACGAAATGGAATGAATGGAAAATAATTTTTTTTACACAATTTGTTCCAAGAAAATTACGTGGTCTCCCCACTTCACCTTCTCTCTCTCCGACCTCTCTTTTTCTTTCCTTAAATCTTCCATCCCCCACAACTCTTTAAAGTTCTCCTCCTTTACAATTTCTTACAAATCCTTCTTCGCCTCTTCATACTCTCCTTCTGCCTTTTTTATCCCTCTTTTAATTTCATCTATGGTCGTCATTTTTTTTTTATATATATTAAAAAAAAAAATTTTAAAAATTTTAAAAAAAAAAATGCTGCAAATCTTTAGAATAAACCACAAAGTCAACCTTCGCCGTTTTGTTGTTCCTATATTGTTATCATTGTTAATTACTTCCTTTATAGTATCGATTATAAAGATAATTCGTGACAAACCTTCTATCAATAGATCTTGTGAATCAACTGAACTCGAATTATTCGTTTATTCGTTTTATTCAAGTTATTCGTTAATTTGAGTTATTCGTTTTATCCGTTTTGTTCGAATTATTCGTTTATTCGCTTTATTTATTCGAATTTTTCGTTTTAATTGTTTAAATAAACAACTTTTCATTTTGTAAACGATTACCAACATTCATTTGCTTACAATATACAGTATCATAAGTATACAAATATACAATGGATTGGACTATTTTAATTCACCTAAAACAGTTTTCAATACTTTGAATTGAAACATAAAGCCAACAATGTTATTATTGTTGTTATATTTTATTTGTAACAATTCTTTCTGATCGTTAATTGGATAATCATTTTTTTTTTGAAAAAATATGTACACGCGTATATTCCTTTTTGGTCATTGGTGTGATAATCGCTATTTTTTAAAAATATTCTAAATATTGATCGTTTAATTATGTTACAAAAATTTGACGAAATTAATGAAAGAAAAAGAAACATTTGCTACAACAAGAGCTTCATAGATATTTTTTATTGTCTTGATTCATGTTTAATGGACTATCTTTTACTTTCATTATAACCATTGTGTAAATGAACTGCCAATCAAATAAGACTGATTGAATGTTCTTGGAGAGATATTCAGAAGAGGAATCTAATTTTCCAAATGCAACATTTTGAAAATTTGTTAAAGCTATGTGAATGACCTGCAATTCACATGGGATTCTAAATAAATTTATATTAGCCATTTTATTGAATTCCAACATATATGAAGTATCACCGGTAAGCAATTAGTTGGATCTAGCCCATTTTTACAACAAGGCTCAAAAACTGTAGTAGCTACTGTTACAGCATCAACTTAATCAAGATTCTTCACATCTACTACTGTAATAGTTGGCTCATTTTTGCTTGAGTTCCAGTGCACAAAACAAAGTTTAAAAATTTTGTATTCACCTCATGTATTTTCATCTTATAATTCCATAGCCAAAAATAATTTGAAGTTACTTTATTTTCTTTAATGGAAATTTCAGGAGTTTCTTTTGTCCATTCACTTAATGAATGTATTGGGTGAATCCATTTTCTAAGAAATTTATAAAAGGATTTACTACATTCTGCCGCAGCAGTAATAGAAGTATGACTAACAAGACTAGCATCAATGGCCAATTTTACAAATTCAGGACTGTATTATTTTTTGAATAGTTTATGTGATTGTCTTTGAAATTCATTTGTGGTGAATTAATTTTAGTGTATAGTTGAGCTATTATTAATTTTTCAAGTTTATTTGAAGATTTTTGGTTTTATTTTGAATTGATTGTGTTGAAGATTCATGCTTATATAATCTAGAAGCAACAAAATCCTGGGCTTTTTGTATAAGATAATGAGATGATATTTCTCCTTTACGTTTATCTTTTGGGTATACTATGGTTCCCATGAGATTTTGTGCATCAAATTTTGTTTTTTATCAGTATTAGTTAGTTTGATCGATATTTTATAAACTTTTTTATTTCCTCTAGAGGGCTAACAATATGTCTTTCAGATTTTGTTTATTTTAATAATTTAAAATCTTAGAACATTTATAATTTTGGAAGCAAATTCGTTATAAAAAAATTTAAAAATATTTTAACTCCTCTATAACATAACTGCTATTTTTTTTTTGTTTATTATGATTTTTTAGAATGACAAAAATCACATCAATATTTTTGAAATGTGGCTCTGTTATGTTCTAGAGATATGAATTGCAAGTTCCAAATATTTTTCAGAATTAAAAAATCTTATCTCTATGGTGAGTTATAACAATATATGCAAAGCGATTTTTCTTTAACTCAAATTTGTTCATTATAAAAATGATTACTAATTAAATTTATTGTTTGATTTCCCCTGTGTTTGCGATCTAACACCAAAGAGATCATCAATTTCCTTACAACAGAACCTCTAGTATATTCTACTTACTTCTTTGATTCATTAGTTAAAGCAACAACAGCCTTTTCTTCCTTAATGAGAGTTTTACTAAAACATAGACCATTAAAATTATTACCTTTAAATATTAACATATCTTTTTAAAATATTTGTAATAACAAATCAATAAACTTGATGTCTCTTATATTCTCGCTACAGTCAATATATAAATTGGTACATTTTTATTAATTGCAGCCCTTCATTGAACTAATCTGCCTTTAATAATCATTGATCATTAATCATACATCAAGTAAATAAAATAAATAAGGCTATATATACCAAAGATACAAAGGCTAATTAAAATAATTTTAAATCTATAGCAAAGTAAATTGTGGTTTTGAATTTTGAATGCAATCAAGTAGGTATATGTGAAAACCAAGTGTATAAGCTTTCGAAAAATTCGCTTAAAGACATTTAGCTTTAAGACTTCTTTCATTATTAATCTTTATACAAGGTGGAGAATATAAAGAAAAATATATTGTGACAATTGATACAATACGAGGATATAAAATGAGTTGTTGAAGATGTTCAAAATTCGAAATTTTAAATAAATTTTCAAATGATGATAAATATGTAATATATGAATTATCTGAATTACTAAAGAAAAGTTTAATAATAAAACGTAAAATGAATTGTATATCATTATTTGATATTGCTTAAAAAAATATATTATATAAATGAAAATAAAAATGTGCTTAATGACTTAAGTGCATTTGATCATTTAATCAATTACAAATAGAATAACAAATTCATTTCTTCTTTGTATATTGATTATTTGATATTGCTTAATAAAAATAAATAAATAATAAAATAACAAAACAATAAAATGAGAATTATTTTCTATCCTGATTATTTCTATGTCTTAACATATTGATAATTTGTTCCAATTCAAAATGATGCTGACTGATCTTCATCCTATGGTCTTTAATCATTGACATATGATAAGAAATGGCCGCAAAAAGGTCTTCATTGTTGTTTCCACAATTTAATGTAGAAACATTTAAATTTAAATCGCGATTATATTGATGACAATTATTACTAATATCGTTATTAGTCGAAGGTGAAGACGATGTATGCGAGCTACTTTTAACATAAACTAATTGGTGGGGTTGTTGTGGTAAAGATTGCGCTGATAGCATGTCATTATTGTTATTGATACCAGTCACTTTTTGAAATGGTGGACTTGTTGCAATAATTGATAATGAATTATCGAATGGAATGATTTCTTGATCAATATTTGGAGTTTGTTGAGTTTGTTGAATTTGTTGTTGAAAAATTTGCTGGGTTGGATTATTAATTTGTTGCGCATAAATTTGTCGCTGTTCGGAATTTTGAACCTGCGAATGTTGTACTTGCTGAAATTGCCGAACAGAATGTCCATCATAATAATAATTTTGTAGTTGTTTATCAAGAATTTGTTGTTTTTGGGACATTTTTGATGGAATAGTATGATTATTTTAGATGATTGAGTTGATGCGTCCTCACCAAGTAACAAGATATTATTATATTATTATTCTTAATAATATTAATTTATTAAATAATTATCAAACGAATTATTTATTTTTATTATTGTAATTTATTGATTTATAATTTTTAAATAGTTTTACAAGTATTTTAAAATATAAGGTAGAATTTATCCCATAAAGAAATAAAGAATGGTTTATTAAGATATTTATATGTAATTTTTTTGATTCACTTTTAATTTCTGTTGTGTAACAAGAATCTGAGTTTCCGAGATTCTGACCAAGTTACCCACCTATCTAATTACTTCCATTCCTTGTGTTAATTGATGCGTAATGTTACACTCCGTACTATAGGGAAAAGGAATAAAAAAAAATTTGCTCGTGATCTGTGTGATACAAAATTTTAAATTAATTTAATAAATTTGGAAAGTTAGTGATGTCAGCCGACATACATAATTTCTAAATTTGGTAATAGATTTCAGCGTTACCTTCTGGTTATAGAAATAAAATTACCAATTTAGATAGTAAACTAAGGTTTCCGGTCCAAACTGTTTTCTCAAAGCCCAAACTAGTTTGGGCAATTTGGGCTTCTCGGCATTTTTTATAAAACATGAACAATTAAAAACTATACCAATCAACTTATTTAACTTAAAGTAATTTCGCCCAATTTCAGCTAATAACCAGGGCCGGAAATAGGGTCTGAAAAAAAAACGGAAATTCCTCCTGAATGCTAAGAATTTTCTGGAAGAAAAATTTAAAAAAAGGAAATTTCTTGGTGCTAAAATTTTAAGAATTTTCTTTTATTTTATTCTTCTGTTTTTACTTTGAAGAAATTTACTAAGAGCATCACTAAAATCATAACAAAATAAATCAGTACCTTCTAAACCAACCATCATTAATAAGTGCAATATATCATTTTCTATTGCACTACATAAATCTGTTTTGATAATATTCTGTTTGCTAAAATCTCTTTCACAATCTACACTAGAAAATGGAATTGAGTGCACTATTTTATAAGTTTTAAGATGTGAATAAGACTTGGAAGTTTGGAAATTGGAATATTTTCTTTTGCCATCCAGTAAATCATTTTCATTATATTAATTATATGTTTGTTACCATTATTAGTGGCTTTTTTGGAAGAATCTTGCATGGTTATTCTTGCCTTTTCTAGAAGCAAAGAACCATCATGTTGGTTTGAAAGTGCATGAGTTGCTAGAGCAGTAGATTTTGAAACATTTTTTGATCCTAAATAATAGCATTAAAATGTCAGCAAATTAATAATTGCAAAATTAATTATATTTATTTGTCATTTTTTTCTGCAAGTTGATTTTTTTTCCCATGTGCTTTACAAATTGTGCAAAACATTCTCTTTATTGCTGTTGTATGTGAAAATGAAATTATGTGAACTCATAATTCACATATGTGAAATTCAAATTAGCCAATCAGAATTTCACCTCACACCATAATATTTCAATTTCACATACAACATTGCTGCATCATATTTTAACCATTTATATGTGTTTAGCCATTCATGATGAAAAGTTCTTCCTGATTTTTTAAAATGCACTTTTTTATTTGACATTTTAATATGATTTTCACTTAATTCACTTTTTTTATTTGATCTTTTTGAAGTATCATCATTATCTGAGCCTTGAGTTGTCAAATCATCTGAACCTTCTATATCTAGTTCATCAATATTTGTTTCATTTATAAATGCTTCATCCCAAATTTCAGTAGTCAGATTATCTAATTCTTCTTATTCCATACTATTTATTTATAATTTATTTTTTTAAATAAGGGAAAACAAATACACATAAATTCATATTTAAATTGTGTATATTTTTAAATTTAATAATTTAATAACAGTGAAATAAGATTTAAATTAAGTCAATACTTTCTTCTGAAAATTCAAAAGATACAAATTATGGTTCTTTTCTAAAATATTGATACACATATATGTATACATTATTTAGTATAAAATTTTTTTATGTGGATGGGAAATCTGTACAAAAAAAAATAAAAATAAAAAGGAAAAATATCCAGTAACTCTTTTTTTTTCTGGAAGTTAAAATTTTTTAAAGGAAAATCCGGATTTTTAAAGTACTATTTCCAGCCCTGGTTGGATTATTAATTTGCTGCTGTTTGGAATTTTGAACCTGCACATAGGTTATAAGAAGTTGCTTCCTGTTCAGACTTTCATCATGCTTTCCAAATTTTTGATTTCAGCCCAGATCATAGTAATAATACATTCTAAAATT